TCCGAAGCATACAAATATGAAACATGTCATGAACCCCAGAAATCTATGGTGGTAACGCCAAGCGATAAGCAACCTCCCCAATTCGTTCAAGGATCTCAAAAGGGCCAATAAACCGAGGGGACAACTTCCCATTCTTCCCAAACCTCATCAAACCCGTCTAGGTGATATTTTCAAAAAGACATGATCACCCACCTCAAATGACAAAGGTCTCCTCCTACGGTCGGCATAACTTTTCTGGCGACTCTGAGCCATAGCTAGTCTCTTATAGATAAGTGCAACTTTCTCCATAGTTTCTCGAACCAACTTTGGACCCAACAAAGGTGCATCACCCACCTCGGCCTAACACACATGAGACCTACATGGTCGACCATACAAGGCCTCAAATGGTGCCATACCAATACTCGATTGGAAACTATTGTTATAGGCAAATTCTACTAAGGGTAGGTGTCTCTCCCACGACCCCTTAAAATCAAGGACACAGCCTCTAAGCATATCCTTAAGGATCTGAATGGTACGCTTGGACTGTCCGTCAGTCTGTGGATGATACACAATACCAAAAGTCAATCTAGTGCCCGAGGCACTCTGCAAACTCTACCACAACTTAGTAGTGAAACGCGGATCTCTATCTGAAACAATCGTCACAGGGACCTCGTGCAACCTCACTATGACCCTAATATACAAGTCGGCAAGATAATCTACCGAGTCACTTACGCGCATGGGAATAAAATGCGCCGATTTAGTCAATCGGTCAACGACCACCCAAATGGCATCACTACCTCGTTGAGTCCTTGAAAGGCCCACAACGAAGTCCATCGTAACATGCTCCCACTTCCACTCAGTTATAAGCAAGGATTGCAACAAACCCGCTGGCCTCTGATGCTCGGCCTTCACTTGTTGACAAGTAAGGCACTTGGATACAAACATAGCCACACCCCTTTTCATACCCCTCCACCAAAACTGATGACTAAGATCATGATACATCTTTGTGCCTCCCAGATGCACCGCAAGGCGCGAATAGTGGAACTCTCGGAGTACTTCCTCTCGGCAAGACTCCGGTACAAACAAACGGTCACGGTATCTCACACTTAGGTCAGGATACACAGTCAAACCTCTTTCTACCTTTCCATTGGAAATCTTCCCTCGGAATGATTCCAACTCAAGGTCACCCTTTTTGCGCTTCCAACACTCGATTCACAAGTGTAGGTTGTGCAACTACTGAAAACAAAGCTGCGAATTCAACAGACTCGCCCAGTTGCAAGTCAAACTCATTAAGAATACCCAACATTTCCCATTCTCTAATGGCGATAGAAGCTACACAGTTAATTGGCTTTCTACTCAAAGCATCGGCCACAACATTAGCCTTCCCAGGATGATAATGCAACTCAAAATCATAATCCTCTATGAATTCCATCCATCTCCTCTACCTCAAATTCAAGTCTTTCTGTGTAAACAGATATTTCAGACTCTTGTGATCAGAGAACACTTCAAATTTCTCACCATACAGATATTGCCTCCAAATCTTCAAGGCAAAAATCACTGCTGCTAACTCTAGGTCATGGGTGGGGTAATTCCTCTCATGTGTTTTCAACTGCTGTGAGCCATAGGCTACCACTTTACCCTCTTACATCAACACACAACCTAGACCTTCCTATTACCCAAAAAGCAACTTAAGAGGGAGGGTGAATTAGGTTTCTACAAAATAAAATTAATAATACCCCAATAAAATTAACTACTACTACAACAAATTATTAACAAGCACAATGATGAACTTAGCAGTAAATGATCAAGCAAAATAACAATGAAGTATAACTAACATATAGGGTAAATCAAATGATTAACACATGAATATTAGATAGCTATAGCAGTAGTAGGAAAGTAAAGAGATTAGGGAAGATGAGACAAAAAGATTTATAGTGGTTCGGCTTCAACCAAGCCTACATCCACTCCTCAAGCTTCACTTGAGATTTTTCACTATCTTCTAGCTTCACAGGGGTGCTAGCAACCTCTTTACAAATGGAGCAATCCTCCACGGATTTTACACAGACTTCACAAGCCCAAACCCTTGCAAATCTTAGGCGATTCACAACCACTCTCAAGATTTCAAGAACACAGTATTTGCAACACTTTTACAACATGAAATGGTATTTTTGCTTTCAAAGAAAGCTTACAATAAATATCTCTCAAAGATAGATATATAAAATGAAGCTTTGATTTTTCTGTAAATCTCACACAGGAAAAATGAGCTTAATGCTATAAGGCTCAGTGTATAATTTCTGAGAATAGATGTGAGTGATTATAGATCAAAGAATATTTTCAGGTTTTTTGTAACTTGTTTACATTAAAGGCTTTGGTATATATAATGAAAACTATAGCCGTTTATAGCCGTTGTGCTCATTTGAATTTATAGCCGTTGTAGTCATTTGAATTTATAGTCGTTTATAGCTGTTGTACTTCTATCATTACCAATTTGAATATATTCTACTTGAACCTTTTGAATTTTTATAGCCGTTTATAGCCGTTGTACTTCCATCATTACTAATTTGAATATCTTTCACTTGAACCTTTTGGTCTGCTGCTGTGCTAGGCTGTTTGAACCTTTGTTTTGGACTGTTTGAACTCCTGATTTAATCAAATATTAAATACATTCTAACAACACGCAGCCCACATTTGATTGAAGGTTGAACAAGCAGCCCAAACTTTAAATTTCTGAAATCTGAATACACAGCCCAAATTTAATGGTGAACACGCAGCCCACATTTGTTGAAAGTTGAACACATAGCCTAAACTTTAAATTTCTGAAATTTGAACACACAGCCCAAATTTGATTGTGAACACGCAGCCCACATTTGATTGAAGGTTGAACACACAGCCCAAACTTTAAATTTCTGAAATCTGAACACACAGCCCAAATTTGATTGTGAACGCGCAGCCCACATTTAATTGAAAATTAAACACGCAGCCCAAACTTTAAATTTCTGAAATTTGAACACGCAGCCCAAATTTGATTGTGAACACGCAGCCCACATTTAATTGAAGGTTGAACACACAGCCCAAGCTTTAAATTTATGAAATCTGAACACACAGCCCAAATTTGATTGTGAACACGCAGCCCACATTTGATTGAAGGTTGAACACGCAGCCCAAACTTTAAATTTCTGAAATCTGAACACACAGCCCAAATTTGATGGTGAACACGCAGCCCACATTTAATTGAATTTGATTTGATTTGTACACAGCTCATATCTTTTCATTTGCACACAGCTTATTCATTTCGTTCTGAAACTGAATACATGTGTCTATTATGAATGCAGACATCCTCCCGCGTTACACGGGGATACGGCTCCATTGCTGCGAGAGATTGGTATGGGGAGCTCCCGAAGGCTATCCGCGATTGGGTTGATCTGGCAGGATTCGGGACCTTTTGTACCAGGATATCTTGCTATCCAGCTAGCCGGACATTGATGGGCGCCCTGGTGGAGAGATAGTGGGACACCACCAACTCCTTCCATTTCTCAACTGCCGGGGACATGACTATGACCCCATTTGACTTCGTCGTGTTGACGGGCCTTGACGTGGGAGGCTGGGTGATCCCTTACGACGAGGACATGGGCGAGTGGGAGGCTGCCTGGATTCATCTGTTGGGAGCTCGCCCACCGGTCGACCGATCTTCGCGCCGAGTCCGATACACCTGGTTTTCTACACAGTTCAGGGGGACTGAGCCCGAGACTCCTGAGGAGATTGCACAGTATGCCCGTGGGTTTTTTATGTTCCTCTTCGGGACCACTCTGTCTGCCAATAGGGCGAACACTGTTGGGCTATATTTGCTGAGTGCCCTGGTGGACCTTACGCAGGTTGGTCAGTATGACTGGGGTGGCGCCAGCTTGGCTACCCTCTATTGCTATATGAGTGCGACCTCCCACGGACGGGGGAACATAGTCGGCGGCTATTGGAGAGCCTGGGAGGTACCTTCTGCTCTCTTGATTCACATTTCTGTTTTTCATTATCTGTACATTGCACACACAGCACACTTTACATTCTGTACTTACATTCTGCCCTCAGCATTCTGTATTCAGATTCTGCACTCAGCATTTTGTATTCTGATGGCTTTTGCCCTGTTTTCCACAGTTATGGGTCTTCATGTACTTTCCGATGCTAGCCCCGGAGCTCGAGGTGGAGGCCCCTCTCATGACCCCTTATTCGCTCGTCTTCGAGGGCCAGTACCGGTCGCGGCCCCGGGAGACTCTCCCCTACCTGCGGCAGTATTTTGACACGGTGTGGGCGACCGAGGTATGTCAGAACTCTCAATTCTTCCCGTGTTCATCTTTGATTCATGCTTGCACATTTACGATTTCTAATCGGCTTATGCATTGGCTATCCGCAGATTTTATGGCAGCCCTAGGCGCCTTTGGGTGAGGGTCTTCGATTCCAGCTTGCCGGAGGATGGGCCGCCTCCCGGTATAGGATCTTGTTCGAGCGGCCAGTTGGCAGGGCCTGGTTCCTGGGAGACCGCTTCCTTCGTCAGACTATGGGCTTCCCTGAGCCGAGTGCCCCTTCAGCACCCCCGGACGATATGCGGCTCGCTAATAGGCTTACTCCCCAGGGTGTCATTGACGCCAGGCTGGGCACTGATGCATTACTGTATTTGGAGGACGGGGAGTACGTGACCTACCGTCACACCTACTTGATGCCTCCATTGACAGGTGTCCGTACTCCCTCGAGGAGGTCTACCGGCATGCCGTCTTCGAGTCGCACCCGAGCCAGAGACATTCCTTCAACCAGTAGGGTTGGTACATCCAGGGGTGGGGCTGGACTGGTCCCTCCGATTCCCCCGACTTATCATCATGCAGGATGGCCAGACATTCTGACCGAATTGATGGGTTGGCGATACGGGATCTCCTACCCGATTCCGATAGAGCCTCTTATGCCTGATCATTGATATGTCAGTGATCCTGACTCACCACCGGTATGTCCCACTGCTTTTCATTTATCACTCAGATACTTAAACACTCATTTATTCGTTGATGATTTGAGCTTGTGTCTGCAGCCACCCAGAGAGTACATGGAGGAGATACTCGGATTGGTGGCCTTACTCGAGGGTATGGTCTTGCGGAGAGAGGCACAGTTGTCCATCATGGGTGTCTCGGTACTCTTTAGTTTTCTTGCATTTATCATATTTCTGATGACATGCTGAATTTGAACATTTCACTGCATTGATTGACCAACTGTATGCGAAGAGCACATCTGACACACACCACATCCATGTACTATATTTGCATACATCCACTCCATGTAGCTTTTTATCTGTACATCTGATATACATATTTTGGCTAATGCATTCAAATTGCACTTTTCCTTTTCAGATGCCTCCGATATATACCGGACCACAGGCCGGGCCATCTGGGCCTTCCCGAGGAGCTGGGCCATCTAGGCCTTCTCGAGGAGCCGGGAGAGGGGAGTCGTCTCGCGGACGAGGCGGGCGCAGAGCACATATCATTGAGGAGGAGTCCAGTGAGGAGGAGGAGTTCGCGCATCGTCAGTCAGAGACATCTGCTGGCAGAGAGGATGACTCTGAGTCTGGCTCTGAGGACGGAGGTGATGCCGAGGAAGATTTCAAGGACGGTGGCTCCGATTCGGATAGTGGTGCTGATGGAGATGGCATAGAGGCTGTTCCGCAGAAGAGGACGAAGAGGGCCTCTTTTTCTTACGCTTAAGAGCACAGATGTTCCTGCTTTATTTGCATTTTTTACTAGTAGTTGTAGTACATTGTACATTATTAGGCAGTTTTATTTTCTGTAAAACTTGTACCCTTGCTGTAAAATGTTGTAACAAAGGAAACATGATGGAATGAAACAGCTTTTGTTCAAAAAGGTGTTGTATTTTGTGTTCTTGCATCGCATCGCATTATTTTGCACAAAAATGAGATTGAATGGAAATCGTGCATTGAAAATTGCCAAGTCAGGTAGTGAACTGACGCAACAAACAAAGCAACTTAACTTACTAAGAAAGAACAGAACCTTAGCAAGTTTACAACTCGATAAGCAAGACTCAACAATGTTGATTAAACTTATAACTCGATAAGCAAGATACAACAAGAGTGTGCCTCTACAAGAATGCATGTATCAGTTTGCAATTCTGGGTATCAAGCCTGAGGGCATCAATATTTTAGGGAATCAATTTTACCCAAAGGTATCAATTTACAGGCAAAATTTTGGGCAGAACTCAGTAGAAAGTGCAGTCGTTCAGCTTTTGCTTGTATTTGTTCTGGTGAAATTAGGCTGAGATGCTGTCTGTTTTCTTCTTTTGCAAGTAAGTCGTGAAACTATAGCTTCAGAAGGCTCCAATATCCCCCGGGTACATTGGACTTGTGTTGATAGACTTTGTCAGGTCAGAGATTCAGTTCAAGGGCAATCAGTGTTCCTTCGCTAGAGGCAGGGTAAGAAGGCCAGTCAGGCACAGATCACCAGTTCAACAGTCTCCGGATCAGCGGTCATTATTCGCCTCACCTATGCGTAGTTGGGCTGAGATATCTGCTTCCACCTCAGAAGGAGAATACACACCTGTTCAGTCAGATCCGCAATTTTCAGTTAATATGGTGGACATGATGCGTCAACTCCAAGAGACCATACAGGCCATGCAACAGGATGCTGCCCGTCAGGCAAAGTTTGCCGCCCGTCAGGCGGAGGTTGTGGCTCAACAAGCAGACCTAATCGCCAGGCTTCAGCAGCAACAGCAACCCCAACAAGCCGGAGCGTCTGCTTCGCATCCACCCTCATCCCCACCCCTGTAGACGTCCCTGAACATCCCGGGAGAATCCGATTCCAACACTCGGGGAGGCGGCTCACGTCCAGGAAAATACGGACGTTTCGACAGGGCCATTCCCACTGCCAATCCGACCTCAACTGTCCAAAGCACCGGCTAATCCAGTGGACACGCCGTTTGAATTTGAGGTTGATCCGACCTCCCTAAAGTTCAGCGAGCTTGAAAAGCTATTCAAAAGAGCTCAAGGCGTTAACGCCATTTCGGATATAGAGGATGGTTATACCGACTTAGCGGTGACATTATCAGACTGGTTCAAGAAGCCACATATCGATCACTTCGATGGCTCTGAAGACCCAATGGTGCACCTCTACATATTTTCTGATATCCTGAGGCCAATGGGCTTGACCACAGCCTAGAAGCTGTCACTATTCGACTGAACCATGTTTGGGATAGCCGCAATCTGGTATGCGAAATTGGAGAACTTTGTGAAACAAAACTGGGAAGAGATGACTGAGGCCTTCATTACTCAATACTCCTATAACACACAGATCGAGGTCACAACTCATGATCTTGAAGTCACCCGCCAAGAGCCAAAGGAGGGTTTTTCAGAGTTTGTGATGAGATGGAGAGCAAAGGCCTCGATGGTGACTACATGGCCTTCCGATAATGACCAGATAAGGATGGTTGTGCGCAACCTCCAACCCAGGCTCATGCAAAAAATGATAGTTTTTCCCCTCCCTACCTTTGCCGACATGCATGAGTTTGGGGTACAGATCAAAGATGCAATGAAGCAGGGCCTTACTGACCAGGAGAAGGAGCAACCTAGGAGGGCATTTTCCCACAGTTCGAATGCGACCACCAGTGGTGATGCAGTTGTAAGATCTTCTAAAGTGGGCATGATCACCACCACCACATCAAAACAACTACCCCATTTGCCGGTGCATCCGAAAGTAGCTTGCAAACAACCAAGTTTCCACCCCGAAGCTAGAGAAGCTTTACTCCGCTGTACATGTCTCTGTTCAAAGCTTTGGGGTTTTTGATCAGGAAAGGGCACTTGAAGCCCTTGGAGCCGTGGCCATTATCAAACAAATTTCCACTCTCCCACAACCCGGCTAAATACTGTGCCTTTCATCAATAAGCCGGCCACGACACTGACATGTGTTTTCGTTTTCACCATGAAATACAAGATCTGATTGACAACAAGATTATCATCGTGCCAGGTCCTGCAAAGTCTATCAGCACGGGATCGATGAACTTGGGAGATTATGTGACTATGTGATGGGGGGATGAACCACTTGCGGGCGGCGCTCAGTTTACTCCAGATGTAGCGTATGGCACGCACTGTTTTGAGCATTTTACGAATGCTAGTTTTTGTACTTTTTGACTTGGGTATTGGGTTAGTCTTGTTGTATTGTTTTGAGTCAGTCTTTTTGCATTGAGTTAGTTGGGTCTGTCTTGTTGTATCGAGTCAATGCTGTTTTGTTAGAGTCAGGTGATTTCGGGGGTGTTACCTCGGACGTCACTTGCTTGTTTTGGTGTGTCTTTACACCCACTCTTTTGAGTCTGTTTCTGCCGTGAAGCCAGTTACGCTAGAAGATTTGAATGAAACAGCAGTGATTTTCACGCTTTTGTGTTTGTTTTTGCTTTGATCCAGCTGTGCCAGAAATTTTGAATAAAACGGCAATGCTTTTCACTTACTTTTCTGTGCCTTGAAATCATTGCATTGACCTAAGTTCTTCAAAAACTTTTTGAACATTGTGATGAAAACAAAGAGGAAGGAATTCCTTGGGATTTGCAAAAATTTGATCAAACTGAGAGAATGGGAGGCATGCTAAGCCCTTAATGAATGAGATCATGTTTGTTAATGCGAGTACTGAGATGGATCCTAGCTTGATCCAGATTGGTTCTACTTTGTCTTCCGCGCAAGCGACCGGTCGCTTTCTTAAAAGATTTCAAAAAATGTTTTGCGCGGTCCTGCGAAGACCTGTGTGGAATCGCTCTCGAGATTGTGCAACCTAGGATCGCTCTCAGCCTCGAGACTCGACCCCTTTGCTTTCAAACCTTGAACTTGAATTCAAAATGTTCAACGCTCAACCACAATGTGAGGCCTGTGTGGCCAGATTTGAAGCAGCCCACGAACTAGGGACAAGAAAGTCAGATCAAATAGATCAAAGATCATCAAAAGAAGCTTGCAAAGCTAGATCAGAAGCACCCCTCGAACTAGGGGGAAAAAATGTCAGATGTGCTCGCAGAGTCAAAAATTGGGACATTTCTCAAGCTAACGAAGATTGGCGAGAATGCCAAATCCCAGGAGGGAGGAAAGAAGAATTTATTGCTGAAGGACAATTGAGTTGCTATCCACAACACTAGGAGCAAATTCAGCCCCCAATTGGATGGACTTCTACATCATCAACGAACAACAACCATTCTCCTAGATTCAAATGGCTTCGAGATCCAAAAACTATTTGACATGGACAAAGCTACACTTTTACCCTTAAGAGGCTCGCTGGGCCAAAAACCTGGAAAGGTGACCCAGGAAAAGTTAGAGAAAATGAAAAAAGAAAAAGAAAAAAATGCAAAGAATGAAGAAAATAAAAGGAAAAGAAGAAAAGAATTGGAAAGAAAAGAAAAACATAGCTCGCAAGGTTGAAAACCCAGAAGGGCGACCTTGGCAAAAGTTAGAGGGCAAAAGGAGAGGTTAAGTACCCGAGTGTACCTTACATGGAACTACGTCAGGCTTGATTCCCATCTTTGGGATACGTAGGCAATTTCATTCTGAAGTCCAGCCATAAACACTTCCAAATCGACATTGTCCATGTGATTGTCCTGGTCATCTTTGTCAAAGAGTTTGGTTGTGATCTTCACTATGAGAACTGGTTACAGTGTGTTGTGGTGCCATTCAGACAAGGGGCAACTTTCTGTTGCCATGCAATGCCATTTAGACAAGGGGCAATTTTTCATTATTTTGGATCTGAGGTTGTGCATCTCAAGAGTAAATTCCGTGTTGGTCAAGCAGTGGCCATTTGTAAAAACAATTTTGAAGAATTTTTACTGAGGTTGATTAATTCTCTCGAAAATCATTTCATTTTTCCAAAACTAAACCATATCTTAGACCCAAAAAAGGAAAATTTTCAGTGCTCATAACCTGACATGCATGATTTTAAATCAGAAAATCGAACAAGTGTGTTGATCTAAATCTCATATTGGTCAAAATTGTTTTAGTAGAAAGCCAAAAAATGGTCAAAATGATGAACTAGGGGCACAGTTGAGTCAGGTGTTCTATCTTTTCCCCATTGTCAACATATTTGCCAAAAAGGGCACTATATTTGCCAAGAAGGGCACTCTACCTGCCAGAAAAAGGGACAACTGAAGTTAACAACAAAGGGCCGAAAGCTCTCTTACCCTCCAAGTAGCGAGATATCAAGCTAAGTGCGAAGCACGAACTGGAATGGATCAAGATATTCCACTCCCTCATCTAGACAGCTCTGGTCACGTCCAAACTAGCCAAGGGCATCATTAACCGATATCAACTGCAGATTTGCTACACACCCAGTTGTAACGCAACCCCTCTATGAGAAAGTTCACTGTTGTGAGCAGAAGAATGAGAATCTAGCAGAATGCTAGGGGCAAGAGCCCGCAACTTCTTGTTTATCCATCAACCACCCAGGGGAGGGATAAAAAAATGAGAGATTGAAGAATAGAGAAATGTGCACTGAGAGAAAAGTAAGAAAAGGACTTTTAAGAGAAAAGAGCCTGATGGCCAAGTGATATGAGAATCACAAATGAGAAAGGGTGGGAAATAATACCCGAAGAAACTGGGTTCCCCGTCAACCGAGAGGTCTCTTGCCATTGGAATACGTCTGAGTGTTGTGTGTGTTGTTCTGTTTGCCTCGATTCTTGTTTTGAGTCGTTTCGTGTGTCAATAGATGTATTTAGGTTGTTTTACCTTTGTTTTCCTTTGTTGAGTCATTTTGAATGAGGTCAGTTGTAGGCTCAATACCCGGTTAAGAATTCATTTCTCAATTTCAA